ATAAAGTTCTTTGTCACGTACCTCAAATAAAATGTGTTTTTATGGCGCGATTAGTGCTGGATTTTATGGTGCCTAAAGCATATCACAAACAACAGCAAACAACAATGTCCACAAAAAAAAAAAGTGAAAAGAATGTCAAGTGTTAATTGCCTACCTATGGACGTGTCTCCACTGTCTGGGCGGCTGATGAAGATTAAGTTGTAGCTAGTGTCTTTTTATGGGTTTCTAAGTGTTATGTTTATGGGCATGCGACTCAAACATGGCTCGATCCAACAGCATCACATAGAGTTTGTGTGTCATTGCATTATAAATGATCATAAATGATTATAAATGGCAAACACAATTAGCCAAGCCAATTGGTTATGTGGAATAAAGGGACAAATGGAAAAAGGTTTGTCTTCAAGAGATAAATCTACAAAGTGAATTTTTAGAAAAAGTATGGATAAATGGATATGCAGTTCTTACAAAAATTATATACCGTTAGGAATTGTAAAACAAATTACGCTTTTTATGCACCAATTACAATTCTATAAAGGGTTTTATAAAGTTCTCTATAAACGCATTATGGCTTTATATGTATCTACTAAAATTTTATTTTATAGCAAGTTCTTGAAGCAAATGAAAAAAAAGTCCGAGTTCAAATCTTAGACTAGTGTATGGATCCAGTATTCCTTTAATTCATTTATACTCGTAATTAAGCTTTTTTTTATATATGTTTTTCCATGCTTCCTAATTTCGCGAAAATATACAGAAGCCTCACAAGAACGAATTTCCCTTGACTAACATGGGAAAAACTGCTAATTAAGTTTTTTTAAATAATTAAACGCCCCAAGACCCATCAAGTGCTTGGTCAACTGCTAAAAAAAACTTTATAGGAGACGTACCCATAGATGAAGAAGTGTTTATATTTCATGTGCATATACAATTGATTTGCATGCAAGGCCCAAAGGTTTTCAATTTTAAATTAACATTAAATTGATTGCTAATTGACTTTTAAGCCATAAAATTCAGGCGTTTTAAATATAGTAAAAAAAAATCAACACTCTCCCATGGCCAACAGTGAGCCACAACACAAATGCACCCAAACGAACCCAATATGAGATATTAGGCAAAAGCTGAGAGCCCACGATAATAAATAGAAGCCTTTGTGGTGCGCTGAAAAATGCACGGTCAGGCAATGCTGGAAAGGAAGCAGAATATTATCAAAGCTGGGCAAAGTGCTGACCGTGAGCAGAGCAGCGTTCAAGTCGGCGGCATTATCATAAACTAAATATAGCAGCAAATATCAATTTGATTGTGCGCGGGGAACTGCGGTCTTGCCGGCAGCAAATTGAGTGTGCAGCGCGGCTGTGCATTGTCTGTGGCAAGTACCGTTGAGACCGTTGAAAAGTCTGGAGCAGTTCACGTGCATGTCCGGCTGCTGGCCAGTGATAAATTATCACTGTTGGCTGGCCATTAGTTTTCGGAAATGTACGAGGTGAGCAAAAAGCTAGCCGCAGTGGCCGCGTGCAGTCAGCGGTCCGTGTTACCAATTCACTTGACGCTAAAACTTATTGCCGGCAATGAGAATGCGCTTTACCCAGGGCAAGCGCTTGGGCTGGACAGGCCAGTCAGGCCAGGATGGTGCCATGAGCATGTCCATGGCCATGGCCAAGGCGTTGGCGTTTATTATGCAAATATTTCAGCTTTAAGTTGTGCGAGGTAAATTAATATGCTGGGCCGATTTACCTGCTGGCTTTGACTTTGCTTTGGCTTCGCCTCGCTTGGCTACACAATGTCGCATTCATTTAACGGCACTTGGCTGATTGTTATTTAAAGTTCAGTTCATAACAATTGTTGCTGTTGCATTTGCTGTTGCTATTGCTGGTCGGCCGTTGCAATTTATTGCTTTGCATAGTTAACAACTTGATTGGTAGCGCTGGGCACTTGGCTGACATTGAAATGTAGGCCTGCCATTGATGCCCGCCAATGATTGTCCTCCATCGTTGTTGTCTTTCGTTGTCGTCGAGATGTTGCAGTTGTCATGCAGCATAAGTGGACTCCAGCTGTTAGTTGTTGCTGTTCGCTGTTGTTGCATAACTAACAATGTATGCGGCGCATAAATACATAGCGCGATTGGCCAACAACAGCACCAACAACATCAACTGAACGACTGAACCAGCTAAAGTAACGGGAGCCCCACACAAATGCGCCTGACATGCAAAAGAATTTCAACAATGCGCCGCGATAATGCGGGGTAAGGAAGACACAGCGAAAAGGATAGAGAAAAGGAGGGGTGGGACGGGTGAGAGATACAGAACGGGTCTCCATTTAGCAATGCAAATGGCGCTGTTTAGCTTAAAGATAATGTCATTCCCAATGCAAGAAACTATGGCAAATATGGTTAAAGAACTCGAACATGTTTTCAACTCTGAAACTCTATTTCGGATGCTGCACATTGATAAGAGGCAATCGTGGAGTCGGACAGATGACATGCAAAAACAATTAGTGAGTGCGTTTATGCATGATGTGCATAATAATTAAAGAGCTTTTGATTAGTTAAGCACGAGCAAGTTCGTTGCCTAAGTCATTTGTTTTAATGGTCAACTCAAATAGAATTTGATAAGCCCTCCGGCTAAAGGTCTAATTGAATTTCAATTTAAATGAGTTTGAGTTGGAGCTTGTGGTGGTGGCCAAAGTGTATAGGCCTGAAATTGGGTTAATGGCCGTACAAAATCCATTCACAATACAATTGCAAGGCCTAGATCAAATATCAATCACACCAGGTTCGTTGCCTAAGTCTTTTGTTTGTGCGAATCTAATGATTTTAGATTGAGGCAGAGAAAACCATTAGCCATGTAATGGAACGGTTGAGCAACCCTTCACTTATGATTATCTTTAGGGTTAGCTGCTTAGTTCAAGTTCTTTGGCCAGAACTTCTCATACAGCACACACAGCTCATCAAATAACTCAAGAGCATTAAGCTGCTTACGGGCAGCCACAGACATCAAGCCCCACCCCAAAGAAAGACCTGTTTACAACATGATTGATAGATGCGCCGAACAGAATTCGTAGCTGGCAGCTACCGGCTCCCAAGGCGATCGGCTTGTTAACGTTCAATTAGTGAAATTGATAGACATATCTATGGAAAAACATCAACGGAAACCAAAGCAAAGTCCAGAACCAAGATACGCAAGATCCAAAACGGCCGAAACGTTAAACCCAAAATTACTTCAATGTTAATTAAAATGTTTTTGTGTTTCGCTTCTTTGGGGACTTTGATATGGTCACTCACATGGAAATTCGTAATATGCAGCAAGGCCCCCGGACTGGAGCGTCGACCGCAAGGTTCGATTCTAACCGCATGCCACACACAGGCCGCATGCGTGTGTACCGTTCGTTTCTTAGTTTTCTAACTATTATTATTATTTTTTAGTTTTTCCTTTTGTTTTTTTGTTTTTGTAAGTAGCTGTGCCCGCTTTACGGGGCGTTCGGTCAATGGCTCATTATATTTGTGGGTTAGCAGGTGATGCCGAGTCTGAGGCCGCGCAACTACAATGAAACTTTTACAAATCTTGCCCAAAATATAAGCACAGCCAGTGGGTTATTAAAAGCGTGTCGGTCGATGGGACGCCGCTTGCCTGGCAGCCTATAATTAGCATAAATTCATTCATAGAACTAATTGCAAGTGGAAGTGAGTGTTCCCGTAATGAATCGGGTGCCAGCTGAGTTTTACCAATGCCGTAGCCCGCACTTTTTTCCCTATTTTTCTAGTTTTAGTTTTAGTTTATGTGTGTGTGTGAGAGGGTATTGTGTTTCAGTACAGGTCTTAAGGCATGTTATTAACTTAACGGTACTTGTCGCTGTTGTTTGGCTTTTCATAATTTATGTGTGAGCGCGGCAGGCGGTGCACTTGTTTTGCATGCCACGCCGCTAGATGGCGCATCGAACGCACCCCCGTAATTAATTATGTAACAGAACAACAACAAGTGCCGCCGCGCCGCACATTATCATGGAATTCAATCAAAACATATTTCTCACGCCACCCTCTTATTAACAGCAAAAGCTGTTGTTGTTACCAGTGTCGATTGCCTGTTGCAAATAATGAGAAAAGATTATCTCACAGCTGTTGCTACTACACACGCCTGGCAACGTTTTTTGTGGCCTTTTGTTTGCCACTCAACACACACAGTTGGCCGTTAACTGTGTTTTGGCCATAAAACTGAACACGTTGCAGAGCAATCAGAGCAAACACTCTGCGCTTTTCACTTTCACGCAGTTAGGATTTGCCAGATTAATGACAGACATAAAAAGTTTTGATTGCCAACGTTGTAATGTATGATTGCATAAGCGAGAAAGCTTACAAAACATATATAGCCAAAGAACTAAGTTCAACTCGAAATTAGAGAGCATTGGAGATATCTTCCAGATTGGTAAATGTGTTGCTGATGCGATTTATATGGTCGTAAAATGTTTTGATTTCGTGGTAGGTGAAAATGGTGTCTCACAGCTTGATATCATTTCAAAACGCCTACACGCAGACTCCCCCGTAAGCTTGTTGCTCTCGATTGCGGGTCAACAAAAAAGTGGCTCTACCTTTCCCAGGCGTCAACACATTTCACACATCCAGCTTGCCCGTGGCGGCGGCCTTAAACATTTCTTTTTATTGTTGTACAATAACAAGCGCAAACATTGCTAGCCAACTGTTGCTTTAATTAAACTCTGTAAGACCTTACAAGCCAAGCAATTAATGCTTGCGCACACACAGCCAACGTGCAACATCTGCCGGAGACAGGCGCACAAGCAGGAACAGAAAACAAAAAACAAAAAAGTGCCGTTCGCTCAGTTGTTGTTATTTGTGCACCACATGCAGCGTGGCAGCCTAATATGCAACAACTAATAAAATGCACAACAGGAATTACATAAATTACGCGTAACGTGAAATTAGTTAGCCTAATTAACATTTTGCCAATGCCCCCCCGACTAACGCCTGCCCTCTATTTTTGTCTGCTCTCTTCTAGGCAAAATGTTTCTACGCCGTTGCACTTTTCTGCTATTGCTCTGCCTAATTGCGAGTGACGCCAACGCCGTGCGCAAAACGAAGCGTCCTGTCAAGCCGGCCAAGCAAACAATTCCACGCACCAATGTGACGCCAGCGCCGGCAGCTACAGCTGCCACAACAAGCAGCAGTGCCAGCAGCAGCAGCAGCTCCACTACAACAACCACCACCAGCGAACAGAGCGTGGAGGCAGCACCGCTGGTCAGCAGCACCAACAGCGCGATTAGCAACAGCGAGCTGCCCAAGCCGCTGCAGCCACAAAATGACGCACAGCCAGAGGCCAAGACAGACAAAGCGCCTGAGACGGACGAGGAGTGCGATCCAGATATGATTGGCTTCGAGATAATTACCGGGTAAATGTCATAAACCTAAGCATAATGCCAAAGCAAAGTCAAATTTCCAAGCTAACGTAATTCAGAAATGTGCCTTATTTTTACTTTTACGTATATTCCAATCGGGCTTATGTCCGCCCAATTTAATGAATGCTAATGAACTGCAAGTTACAGTCTCAGATTTCGTCCAATTAACTGATTTGCATAGAATTGCGACCTAACGGCATCCAATGTAAATGTTATAAGGCCCCAAGCAGGTGGCAGGTATTACGGCGGGAAGGGGGTCGTTTTATGTGGGCGAAACGAGGCTTGTCTAATCACATGGTTTGTTTGGATGTCAGGCAAACTCAATACACAAGAGCGCGTCGACAGCAGCTGCTTATGAGCTTTCTTTCATCGCAGCAGCTGCTGCCGACAGCAGCAAGTTCGTTGCCTGAGTCTTTTGTTTAGCCGCTTACTCATAAGCCAGTTATGCGGGGGCCCCATGACGTTATATCTGGTAAATGCGATTAAGGTATACTTTCATTTTTCTTTTCGACACGCTCGAGCTGTTACTGACTAATCAAATTGGATTAAAAGACTTTACGAATTAATCAATTTAAATTAATGTTTACTGCTTGGATATTGATGAACATTTGAAGTATGGGAAAAAAATAGAAGTTTGTGTAAATGTGTTTGGCAGAGCTGAAATTGTAATTCTTCCAAATGACACACAAAAATTCGTTGTTTACTTTCGATACCAGCAGGGATTAGTGTAATCAAGTTTTGAAGCTTTATAACCAGTCACATCTCTTTTCTCTCCTGCAGCTACGTATTGTCGGCACCCTCAAAAATGTTGGATACACTACCCGGCACGCTGATGCTTACGGACTGCTTGGAGGCTTGTCAGAGCAATGAGTCCTGCAGTTCTGTCAACTATGAAACCGGCTTGTGTGTGCTGTTCAAGACGACCGCCGATAAATTGCCAGGTGAGTTAGAAAGTGTGAGAATCTGTTGCTGTTGCAACTTGTGCTGCTGCAGCTGCTGTTTTGTGTGCCAAAGAAAGTTCAATAATTTAGTTGGCCGCTCGTTCATTCAATTATTGAGTTCTAGTTCATGGTGGCCAAGGCGCTGGCGCATAAATCACCAGCGTCAGCCGCAGTGCGAAACACGCCTTTGGTTTTACGCATGATTTGGCAAGCAGGCAGGCAGGCCAGCAGACAGAGCGACGACGACGGACGGCAGACGACAGACGACAGACGACGGCTCCAAGTTGGCCTGGGCCCAGGCAAACTAGATTTTGCCTATTCTGCAAACTGGCTTTTGGCATTGGCGTTGCGCTAACGCATAATTTCAGGCCAGCCTTGTCGCTGTTGCCGTTGCTATTGCAGTTGTCGTAGCCGTTGCCGTTGCCGTTGCCGTTGCATTTGCTGCTGCTATGTTTCTCAACGCCTGTTACTTTGCAGTGAAGGGGCGTGTGCGTAAAACGCACCACACGCACCACACACTACTAGCACCATTTAATGTTTTTGGCTTGGCTCTTTTGCAGGTTCACTTTCGCGCTCACAATTTCCGGTTTTTACGATCTACGCACAGAAATCGTGTTTGGGCGTGCGTCCTTGCTCCAAGGCCTGGTGCGTTGATCGCGTTCAAGGTTACCGCCTGCCCGAACATGTCAAATCTAGTCAGACGGTGCTGTCGCGTCGCGACTGCTTGGAACTCTGCCTGGGTGAAACGGAGTTTACGTGCCGGTAAGTCAAGTGAAGATGAACAGGATGCAGCCATCAGCTGTTTAGATTGCCATTACATAATCTCTACACAAGTTGATCCAGTTATGTATATTCAGAAACATGATATCGTCGTGCCACAGGTGTTACTAGGCTACTAAACAGACACTTTAAATTGAGAACTGGTTCGATCAAGATAAGGGTGTAAATGAACTGTTAAATGCGATACCAGTAATGGCATTGATTTGTGATAAGAAGCTTAGCAGAAGCGCCTGTCAAATAGATTTAGATTTCAATTGAGATAGTATTGATGAAGTACACAGAGGAAAACCTAACTCTTACCTAAAGATAAAAACAAATTCATACAAATCCTATAAGTAATTAAGATATACAGAAGAAGTTACAAGCAACTCTCGACTAGCATAGCTTAAATACTGAAAAGATTGCAATGATAAAGTTTATAAATATAAGAATCTCTGTTAGGCTAGTTCACATTAGAGACTAGTTTGAATAAAAGATAAAATCCGGAAGTAAATAACAGTATTAGAAAGTTAAATTCAATAATGTTTAAGGGTTAAATAAAAAAAGGAGAACTTAATTTAGATATTCTTATTCTTGTCTTAATTATTACCTCGAATTACTGAAATCATTATTCTATTATAATTGAGCTAGCTTAAAGTAGCCTGTATAGATATAGTTTAACGACAAATCTTCACTTGCTTCGAGTAGCTTTCTATATAACTGACACCTTTCTACACACTGTACCTAATGCTATATCTTCACATTCTTTCTTTATCTTGCTCTTTCTAAAAACAAAACAAAAATACCTTCAACCTATTCTACTACCTATCTGAATGCGTACACCTCTGCCGCTCATAACTCTCGCCTTGCGCAGCTCGGCCAACTTTTATCGCCATTCCGGCCTGTGTGAGCTCTCAGACATGGATCGCATCACGCTATCGGCGGGCAACAGCGTTGAAGCTTATGAAGGCGCCGACTATCTGGAGAATAATTGTGCTGAGGAGCCCAGCAAGCTGTGCGAATTCAAGCGTATCTCGGGCAAGATTCTAAAGACAGTGGATTCCGTTTATCAGGACATTAACACCATTGATGAATGTCGCGATCTGTGCCTTAACTCGCCTTACAGGTAAAGCCACCGCATTAAACAAGTTAATGAATGGTTCTCACAGCTCCAACTCTGACAGATGCCACTCGTATGACTACAATGACACTGGCGACATGGTCTGCCGTCTGTCGCATCACAGTCGCGCCACATTGACGGATGTGATGGATCCCTATCTGGATGTGCCCGAAGCAGCCACCTATGAGCTGTCCGCCTGCTACAATGTGTCTATCGAGTGCCGTTCCGGTGAGATGATCACCAAGATACGCACCTCCAAGCTGTTCGATGGCAAGGTCTACGCCAAGGGAGCTCCCAAGTCTTGCTCCGTAAGCGTGGACAAATCGCTGGAGTTTGATTTCCGCATGGGCTACAACGATCTCGAGTGCAATGTGCGCCAGAGTGCCTATGGTCGTTATATGAACGATATTGTTATACAGCATCATTCCATGATTGTCACCTCCTCTGATCTGGGCCTGGCTGTCAGCTGTCAGTATGATTTGACCAACAAGACGGTGCTGAACGATGTGGACTTGGGTGTCACTGGCGAGATCGAATCGTCGCTTAGCGAGGAGATAACCATCGATTCACCGAATGTCATTATGAAGATCACCTCACGCGATGGCAGCGACATGAAGCGCATCGCCGAGGTCGGTGATCCTCTGGCGCTCCGTTTCGAGATCGTTGAACAGAACAGCCCGTACGAGATCTTTGTGCGCGAACTGGTCGCCATGGATGGCTCGGACAGCGCCGAGATTACGCTGATCGATGCTAATGGCTGCCCTACCGATCAATACATCATGGGCACCATACAGAAGCTCTCGCACAATCGCAAGGTGCTGCTCTCTCAGTTCGATGCGTTCAAGTTCCCATCTAGCGAGGTGGTACAGTTCCGCGCCCTGGTAACGCCCTGCATTCCACGCTGCGAGCCTGTCATTTGCGATAGCGAAGATGGCGCCAGCGGCGAATTGAAATCTCTTGTCTCCTATGGCCGCAGGAAGCGCTCCGTGGTGAATGGCACCGATGGTGGTAAGTATCGCCCAGCGGCTGACTGACTTTTGGCTTCTGGCCGTGGCTCATTACGTTGCTAACTGCTTGCAAATTCACAGCCGAGTTCATGGTCAGCACACGCCAGCAACGCGAGCGCCGCGATGTTAACCAAGCCCCAGCCGATGATAACATACTGCTCGTGCAGTCCATACAAATCACAGACAAGTTTGGCTTCCAGGCCGAGGATGGCAGCGACGCCGGCCAGAATGCTGCCGAGCCCCATGAGAAGGCCTACGCGGGCGTTCCTCAGGACAAGCTCACTTGTCTTAATGGCTATGGTAAGTTTTGCTCCCTCTGTGAAAATGCCCAATCAAGAGCGAATCAAAGCATCCAAAGTTGATGCTGCTGCTGCTGTTCCCGCTTCAGCTGCTGCTGCTTCTGCGCGCTGATTTGCATAGACAAGCCGGAGAACGTTGTTGACGTCGTGCTGCTGCAGCCAGCGGGTGGCGGATGGCTGCAACTGAGGATGCGAATGCGAATGCGTTTTGGTGGCTGCGGCCAGCTGTCCGCCTGCCAGTTGCCAGTTGCCTGCTGCGTCGTGAGCCAGCGGCTTGTTTTGGCCATTGTTGGCTGCTCGCTAATTTTGATAATGAATCAATTTTTCATCATTGCCACTGACGACTGCATGAGAAATAAATTGGATTCTCTAGCTATGTGGCTCATGTCTAGAACGTGTACAGCTCTGGCTGCCAACAAGTTATGATGCAAATGCTAATACCGAAACCAATGCCAATGCCGAAACCGATGCCGATGGCGATGCTGACGCCGCAGTGTCGCCGGCTCACGACCAGGTCACTGGTTCAATGTGATGTGCTGCGCCAGCTGTGCAGGATGAGATGCTGTGGCTGCGGCTTTTCCTGCTGCTGCTGCTGCTGCCGCATTACTGCACGCCTCATTTTCGTGCGGCGCGAACAGTTTGCACAGTTAGCTAAGCCCCGCGCTGCCCCCTTTCTCCATCGTTATGCAGTTGTCATTGTAGAGCATTGTGGAGGTTTGTGGAGCAATTGCCATGCGCGTTGGACATGGCGCATTAATATCAAATGCAACGTTGAAGCGTTAAATTTACAGCTTGTTAGACGGCAGCAGGTCCAGCTGCTGTGGCTGCTGCTGCTCTAGGTTCATTTGGTCCCCAGATGCAGCAGCGGCAGCCACATCAATTTCTGTTGCAATTACGCGCTGCACAGCAAAGCGAAGCGCGTCGAGCTCATTGGCCGCAATTAGAGCAACGGTTTTCTCCTCAGTTTAAGCTCATTTACCACACACATTGAAGATTTAGAGCGAGTGCTTGAGCTAAAGCTTGAGCTTGAGCTTGAGCGAGTGCCCGGTTAATATTAATGCGTGTGGCATGTGGCATGCGGCAATCAATCTAGCGGCCAGCTCTATATATACTCCATAATTTATACAAATTTATTTGAATTATGCATTCTTCATAACTCCATTCCAATGATTCTGTCTGTAATCTACCCGGCCATAATTATAATCTCAGCCATAAGCTTAAACTGATCAATTTTCAAGTCTACAATTTGAAGTTTATAGAACGCTTCAATTATCTGTAAATTTGTTTTGGTTAAGTTATTATGTTTGATGTGAATGCAAACTATTAGGATTTAAAAAAATAAATTGGCCTAAAAACAGGAAATTTTTTTACATATTTAATGCGACTTATTTAGGCAAATCATTTTTAAAATAATCAGTTAACTTATACTCATAATTCAGTTAAGGTTTATTTAGTTTGATTTCTATTTTGAGCCTCGCCGTCTTCTTAAACTTCCACACAGTAGCGTTTACATAGAACAAGAACATGGAGAAACTCTTTATGAAAGTAGGTTTTGAACAATTTATGTCAATTTCATATTACTCAATATTAAACATCTTAAAATACTTTATAACGGTCAGGCAACTAAACAACGAGATGGACGAGTCAAGGGCTATAGGAGTCAGTGATATTTATGTATTATCCCTATAGCTCGTAACTATTTCCTATGCACACGATTAAAAGTTAATTAATTAAAATGGAAAAAAAATTCCCGAAAATCGAAGCATTCTTTATCCCACTTTTTAGTTTACATTTCCTTTAGACAGACTCATAATGTCTCAATTATTTCTAATTCAACTCAAACCAAGCGATTTACTCTCTTCACTTTCATTTAATATCCCTTTTCCTGATTGGTTTCCTTCACTTTCCCCGCCAATAACAATAAGTCCAATGTTCAGCTTTTTCAATATGTGTCCAATCAAGTTTTCCTCGCTTTCATCTCAGATGCAACATGATGCACATCCGATTTGTGCACTGGTTCCCATAGTGTTAAAGTCGAAAACAACAACGTGCCGATCTTGTTCATTGTTCTAAGCTGTTTGTATTTATTGTTGTTGTTGTTTTGAGTTTATTTTGAAATTGTTTACTATTTGATTGCTTTTGTGGGTGCCCCCGAGCTCGCTGACTTACCGTTTATCGTAATTGTAATAATTTCATGTATTTGTTGTTGTTGTTGTTGTTGTTGTTGTGTATACGCACAGGCAAACTGACAGACAGAGAGAGAGAGACAGACCGACAGACAGACTGAGCGAGAGGGTGAGAGAGATGGACAAACAGATAAAAGGTAAACCAAGCACATAAATAAAAGCTCAAGTGCGTGCGCTTTGTTATTGAAACTCGTTAAAGTCATTGCCAACAGACCACGACAACGATGACGACCACGACAACAACAACAACGCTGTTGTTTGTTGTTGCTCTTGTACGTTAGGTTACATTTGGTTGTTTGTATGTGTGTGTTTGTTGGTCTTAAGCCGTCGGCGCTTACTTTTTATGGGCATTTGATGTACAACACCACCAACAACAACAGCAGCATGCATATGTACGCTGTAATCTGTGATAGTCATCAGCAAAGTCGTCGTCGTCATCATCATCATCATCATCATAATCATCATCATCGTCGTTGTCATCGTTGCTCTTAAATTCAGAATTTCGTGAACTGGACGACAACGCATGCAAGCAAACGAACGGAGGAACAGTTTGCTCTGCACTTTGTCGGCACTTTCACCCGATTTCTACCATTGGCATTGGCATTGGCATTTCGAATTTCCTCTGTCCATTGGCCGTTGGTTTTACTCCCAATCTACCATCTCCGGTCTCTCTGTTGCGGCTTATTTATGTGGCATGTTGCACTTTTGAGTGCATGCCCCGCCGCGTGTAGGAGAACATGAAAAGTGAAGCCTTGGCCGAAAAACAAAAAAATAAATATAAAAAATAAAAGAAATATGCAACTCATGCACTAAATTGTCGCTGCTTTATTTTCTCATTGTTTTTGTTGATCTTCAACTTGTTGCTGTCAAAGTTGGTCACTTGGTCGGTCGTTGGTTTCGTTTTTGCTCGACGCGGTAGCCCAAGGCAGCGCCGCTCTTGGCCAGAGCTAAGCGAGTGAACTGGGTCAAGTGGCGTACACTTTTGTTTTCTTTGATAACTAAGTCGGTTGGTTTCGTTGTTGCTTCCTTGTTGCACTGGTTCCTCATTATCTGCCATTCGCTCTTGCTCATTTTCCTGTTTTGATAAGCATGCCGTTAATCCAGTTTTGGTTCTAATCTAACTCTTGCTCTTTCCCATCTTCATTTGCAGGTCTGATCTTTGCCGGTTCACTGTTTCTGCTCGCCCAGCTGAGCATCTTTGGCATTTGGAAGACCGTTCAGCGACGCACTCGCAAGGAGCGCTATCTGTATCAGCAGGACCCCACGCCAACCATCACATATGGTGCGCCCACCATTCTATATGGACCACCCCCACCATCAGGTGGCAGCGCTGCAGCGTCGCATGTGAGCAGCGCCAAGGATACGCTGAGCAAGCTATACGACAGCGGCATGAATGGACGCTATGGTCAGCAGTACTAAGATGGGTATCGGATAGCTCTCACAATTAGCTGGGAACAAACGCAATATGCCTCGAAAGCTTCAAAAGATTCGATGAGACTTGAATAGCACATATACATACATAATCGCCAAGCAGCGATGCATGAAAATCATTTGAAAAATTCATAGTTTAATTCTACGTAAAATTTAGTTTAAGCTTAATTTAATTAACACGTAATATAATCGAATACGCAATCGAATACGCAAAAAAATAATCGAACTGATTGCATTTCAAATGCGCGCTTTTAAATGAACTGGAAGAAATGTTCCAGCATTTTAAAACTGCGCATTGCATAGACAAAATCAATAATTTAGCAGCAAAAATTGTAGTAAATTTTTAGAATTCTTCTCTTTAGCGCAAATTAGGCTAATTTTTTTTGTGTGTAGTGAATATCTCTTGCATATGAGTATCTAAAATCTAAGTCTATAACTGAGGCAAATTGAAGTGCATTTATAACTTTTATTCTACCATTTTATTTATTGATTGTATTATTTATTGATGCTTCGAGCTGCTTTATACGTATATGTAGGAAACGTAGCCATAATATTTCCTGCAGACTTGCCAAATAATTTTGTATCAAAATGTTTGTGTCAAATTTCTTGCAATCGGCTGCGTTTCACAAACTCGAATCGACTATTTATTGTACTTAACTACTATTTATCGCTAATTTATTTATTGCTAATGGCTAAATGCTAATTTATTGCCGAAACGCAGAGAGGTGCTAAGTTTTAGGTGCTTAGTATGGGGCTACACATCAGCAAGACATCAGCATAAAAAGGCTAAAGTTTAAGGATCTTAAGTTTAAACGAGACAATTCATACACATGAAGAAATATATATTTGCTAAACAAATTGTACTGATTAAGTAATGCAATAAACTCTATAAACATCTATAAATATCAAGTGTGTTTTTATTCGCTTAGAAGTGGTGGATGGAATGGAAGATATAAGAAATATCTTAAAAGGATCACAGTTTAATTGGTAAATAGGCCACCTTGATTCAAGAGATTCAAAACGTTTTGGTTTCGGTGCTCAAGAAAATTTTGTATAAATAAAAAAGATTATTTATATATAAAACTAGAGGGTATACCCCGGTCATGCCCGTGGCACGTATAAAATAAATTCTCTCAAGACCTGAGTTTGAAACCGAACGGAAGGTAAAAAAAACTTTCATACTACCGTTTGCCGCCAATTTACCACTGTTGTGGGTGGAATTTCCCAAAAAGCTGAAACACGTATTCATTAAGTTTTTATGTACAGCTTTGAAAATAAGTTTGAAGCCATTTGGACAACACTTAAAACTTCACCAAAAGAATCTTAAAATTACATTTTCCACCAAAGAAGTTTGGATTCTGCGAAAAGTGTGAAGCACATTTTTCATATTTAAATTTATTTGAGCGCGAAACGTCACCCACCAAATAGTTGACCCCAATTTCAATCAAGGAGAATGGCATATTTCGAAAAGTGTGACACACCCTTCAAATGCATTTGAAAAAAGATATTTGAAAATGAGTTTGGGGCCGATCGGATGTTAAACAAAAAAGTTTCATAGAAACGTTTTTCGCGTTGATTCCACCAAGTTTAGAATCAAACCCTCTGAGCTATAAACAGATCAGCGACAATATTTTGCATATTATTTAAAAATTAGAAATAACTCTTATTCTCGGAGTCTCTTATTTTAAATTTACTTTTCTGAACTTATAGAACAACGAAAGTTTATGGCCCATTGTTCTAGTAGAGGGAAAACAATATAGTAGACCGATGCTGGGAAGTTTCTGTTTTTGTATAAGGAGCTCTATGAAGTGCATAGTTGATGAGTTTTCTAAAGTAATCCAAAAAAACAAAAGAATATTTTTATAAAATAAATGCATTTTTACCGAAACGAAACGATAACGAGATATATGATACAGGTATCCGGAACGACTGGGTCAAAATATATAATGTCTACAGTTAAAAAATCAGAGCTCGACTAATTTCTAGACTAATTTGCATAAAAACACACAGATAGAGAGACGTACAGACGGATATGACCGTAACGACTCGGCTATTAATTGTAAATACATCATTCCATTAAAAATAAGAATACCCACTGAAATTGTACAAAAAGCATATTGTATTTATGTACCTGAGTACAATAGGTGCTGACAGAAGGTGTAGCCGTCATGCCCCATATTCATAATGATGTATGTTTTTTTTTCCGCTTCCATTCGTTATAATCCAGAACACGAGTCATCGTAATTAACATTCTGTAGTTGAAATTGGCTGACAAATTGCTGGTTAAATAAATGTATTACCACATGTAGCTGCTGCTGGGGCCTCTTAATGGCAATATGTCATTACAGCAATTGATGGATTGACAGAGTGTCGACAGTAGCAGCCCTGCAGACAGACTGACGGCAACTGGCTGCTTCTCGTTAGCAACTGCCTCAAGTTTTGTTTGTCAAAGCAGTTAAGCCTGAAGTATGACAAGTGCGTTCGCAGGTTAAGTGAAATGCTAAAATGGCAACAAATTATAATAATTTCACGGCTTTGTAGCCATTCAGGCACACTTCAGGCACACAGCACACACATCTGCCATAACACACACACACACACGTACACACACTCGGCTGCTGGACTGGGCCAGCAGACGTAAGTGTTAATCAAATTATAAAGCATAGCAACAAGTTTACCGAGGCGTTTTACGATCTCTTTAACGCTTCAGCTACGCACGCCATTAACAGCGAGAGGCTGGGCGCTGAGAACTAAAAAGCCGAGCGGCAACTGATCAAAAATTCAGAGTTGTAACACTTGAAAAACTGAAACTGAAACTGAGACGACGGCGGCGGCGGCGGCGGCATCCATTAATCAAACGCACACATCAACGATATGTGCGAATAGTTGAGACGCGTGCCGCAACGTTGAGCGCTAAATAAAGACATCGACCAAAAGATCTGGAGGACCGAGACCTGAAAGCGTGTCCGAGTAGGTGCCAAGACGCATGTGCGTCGTGCGTTGGCTTGAATAAAACGCCCCTATTAAAAAAGCATCAACAACGCGTTGAGCGTTGACAATTTTTATGGCCAACTCTGGTGCGTATTTGGTCTCAGACTGAACCCGTATAGACCAGGCCACTCGTGCGCCGCATGTGGCTGACTGGCTGGCTGGCTGGCCGGCTATAGAAGCCGGCTGCACGACGTGGCCAAGTGTGGGCATTAACGCTGACAGCTATGCAAATACCTAGCCATTAAGTCTTTGTCATTTAGCAATGTCTTTTAATTAGCGGTGTGGCCTGTGGCCCGATGTTGCCTGCAGTTGACTGTAGTCAATATGCCCAGGACTAGCTTTCTAAATACAATAGCTTTTTGGGTGTAGTGGGAGGAGACCCAGTAACACCCACACTTCTTGACACTCGGTTCGGTTGCATTGACAAACGTTTTGCTCGCCTTTTGGCCCACATCGCTGCATAAAGCTCGCATTGAACACCCTCACGCTTTATGGCCATTTGCATTTGCATTTAAATGTTTTTGACGGAGCTGATTTTGTTGCACAGCGCTTCCTGAGAGCGCATCCGCCAGCGTTTGCCATGTTGGCCACATCACGATTTCTCGGCCAGGCCGCCTGTTGCTTTCTTGGTTTCTTCATAGTTTGCCGTTTGTTTACAGCTGCTCGCATTGATTGAAAAATTATGCACTTGCCATGAGACGATGGGCAATGTCAAATGCCAAATGCTAAAAAAGACCAACAGTGAAATTTTCACAATCGGCACACCGAACCTTATATGCCCAATCTGGCATAGATACATATATATATGGGAGTATATATGGTTTCAAAGGGAAGCCAAGTTTTTCAAACTATGCCTCAGACCAGTCATATTTTAAGGCGTCAATACACTGCAAGAAATCAGTAGCTCATTTGTGGTGAACGGTCTGTTTTTTTAAAGAAAAAAAATAACAAAGAATACTTTAGAAGGTTTTTTAATCCGTGAAAATAATACAATATATACCACAACGAATTAACCTTTATTTCACGAAACTACCAGGCGCAGCCAACTTAACGCACCAAAGTAAATATGCAGTGCTGCCAGACTGCTTGAATAATTACTTGGCTCATCTGAATTCACATTTAATACCAGCCAAAGGCATTTTTTAGACGGCAAAACAAACTCTTTGACAATGTGATAATACCCTTTCGTACAGGGTATGTTGCAGCCGCTGGTAGCTAGGAATTTTAGCACTTCAAACGAACAGCATTTTCCATTTTGGCAACCTGAAAGCGGAAAGCGAGGCCGGGCCTGCTTACTTTTCTTTTCGCCAGCTTGTCCTGCTCATTAGCAAACCAGGCAGCGGTGTCTTTTTGGCCCATGGGCAATGCCAACACTGGCGACAGCTGTTAGCCAGTTTTCACCTAATTAAGCAAACAAACGTGTGGGAAATCGACTACATAGCCGCTGCGCCACACCACACACACCACACACACCCCACCCCAGTGAAGCTGATAACTTTCGCCTAGAGGAGACTGTTTGGGGCTGGGCTAAACTAATTGCCTTGAACATGGGGTTTAAGTAGGCCCAAGGAATGCATCCAAACATTTGTCTCTAATTGCAGCGCTGCCCAATTGGGCAGGCCAAATTAAATTAAATGCAGCTCGAACCAAGCAAACGGGCCCGGGGGCACGGGGGTAAAGGGGCAACGCGCAACGGCAACTGGCAACGGCAGCAGCATCAACAACAACAACAACGAGAACAGCAAACGGCAACAACAATTTGTGCAAAAATACAAATTGGAACATTTGTAGAAGTTGTGCGCAGGCGCAACGCTGTGAGAATTTATGGCCCTGCCGGGGTCACTGCCTAGTGGGGATAACATCTGTTGACGCGTCGTGCGCGCAATGCGCATGCAAGGCGCACCAGACCAAAGGACATTGACCAGACAGGGCCACTGCCAGTGCCAGTGCCAGTGCCCAGAGCCCAGAGCCAGCCAAGCAGCCGGAGTGCTAGCCGACTTGGCAGACAGACAAAACCGTTGCAGAATTAGAAATTGCAAAATGGTTCAGTTCGGCTGCAGTTTGTACTGGCAAAAATGTGCTGTGAGCCAGAATTGCTCTCCAAATGCCGTTGTGAGAAGATAAAACGACCGCTACAATGCTCGAGTCCTTGAAGTCTTAATTTACAGGACAACTAAATGTGGGAATATGCTTATCATGGCTCCAACTAGCTACTTGGACTTTGATAGCAATTATAGTAATAGAACTTATTTATAAGCGGTGTAAAATGGATTAAAAAAGCACATTAGACAAATTTCCTTAGTTCTCTTATTCAGCATATTCTTTCTAAAAAATCAACTACCATCATTTTTTCAATACATCATTCAATCAATACAGTTTTTATTTGAATTTATGATTGGGGTTTCCTCTAGGGTGTGGCGTCATCTCAAATTATGCTCTTATTTTAGAATCCTAAGAAAAGAATTTTACAATCTAGATAAATCGACAAATTTACTTGCTAACTCTAGAAAGCGTATGTAAATTATAAAATCATTCTTGCATAACAATATTTAAATAAGAATGTAAATGGAAAACATAAATTAGAATCGATAACCTTATGCCTAACCAAAACAATGTTTAATATATAATCATACAACAATTTAATAAAATAACAAGTATTTAAAGGTTTTACATTTAGCTGAAACCCCTGGTAGGCTTTGCTAGTCTTTACTTAATATGAACTTTTAACTCTATGATAAATGAATATATGGACAGCAAATATTTATTTAGTATTGCATTGAAATTTTTAGAAATAAAAGCAAATAGACACAAATTAAAATTATTTTTCATTGGAACTCACAACTTCATTCATCTTTACCTTAAACTTTTAGCTCTCTAAACTTTGTGAAAATAAACCTATTTTCATGCCAAATTGCATTAATCATCGCGCTTCTTGCAAAACTTCAATATTTTTTTAAAATTTTGATATTTGTAGATCTATTTAGGAAGTATTATAACAAAATGGAAATGATTAATTGCAGCTATTTCTTAAGGCTGTTGATTGGGTTTGCGTTTGCAACCCTGGGCAGAGTTACTTCCGCTGCCTGATCTTGCAACAGTTGGTGGCAACTGTGCGACCTTTTGGTTTGCCGAATGGTGCTGCGTATTCAATTTTGCCCTGGCTTGGGATCTTCCTTGTGGTTGGAGGCGTGCGTGAAGATTGCTTCGCTGCACAAGGAAGGCCGCTGGCTGGTCTCCCTCTTCTGAAACCAGCATGGAGAGCATGGAACGTTGGTCCAGGCACAGGCCCAGGCCCAGACCCAGGCCCAGGTCTAGGTCTGGGGTTCGGGTTCAGGACAACAATCGCAGTAAGTGATTACGTAACCAGTGCATTGTTCTTTGGCTGCGTTTTTATTTCATTGAACAACGCAATGGAGGAGCGTCTGGAGGCCGCTTATCAGCATCAAACGGCGCGAGGAAGCTGCAGCCAGTGAAGAAGAAGGCAGCTAGCCAGAAAAATAATTTATTCACAGCCATTATGCGCTGCGAATTTATGCCACTTCCTGGTGGAACAACTACAAATAGCCATTTAAAATGCGATAAAAATAGCGCCAACGGGCGCAAAAGCAAAAGCCAAACGAAGATGCTGCACAATGCGCTCGCATCGCATCACACACAACTGGGGCGTGGCCAGGGCGTTTGCGGCGTTTTGCCGCAATGACTGCCAAGCATGAAACCGTAAAATGGTTTTTCAATAAACAGGCCCAAACAACGTAGCCGGGCTGAGTGTGCTGAGCCAGAAACTCGAAGCCGGCCAAACAATGCGACAAATATTTGAATATGTTAATTAGTTTAGCAATGTTGCAGACGCTGTTGTTGCAACTGGCAGTTGCTGTTGCTGTTGCAGTTGCATTTAGCTGGGCACGATCAGTTCTATCGGCGGACGTGCATCGGGGCAGTCTAATTTCATGTGTTGCCATCTTGTTAGGACAGTTAGGAGCAGTTAGTGTGTTGCAGTTGCGGCCAAAGCGTTTTGCATCTTCGCACCACAAAACTAACGAGCTCGAACGCCTGCCCCACGCCTGCACTTGCATTGCGATTCATATTTATGAGTATGCCTCATTCGAAAAGTCGTACATATTTATGATTAGTATGCACTGGCCGACTCTTGCTCTTGCTCTTGCTTTTGCTCCTGCTTTTGCTTTTGCCCGGCTGTCATGCCCAGCGGCCACTGGCCACACACATACCGCCAGGTCCAATAAAGCTGCCAATGAGCCGGGCTTTAAACAACTGACAGCCGACAGCAGCAGCAGCCTTATAAAGTCACAGGCCAGACCGAACAGCCAAGCGACTCCGCATTTTCGCCAATTGCACGCAAAGCTCAGATGGAGATGCTTCAGCTGATCTGTAAGCGGGTGCGTCTGTGTGTGCGCCTCAGTGTTGGTCTGCAGGGGAAACAAGCTGGTTCTATGAAAATAGCTAGATTTTTCCATTCAAAAATCGCTGTTTTGAGTTTTTTATAATTTCTTTTAGCATAACTAAAACAATATCTACTTCGACAACACATTTATTGACCAAATATTGGGGTAGATAAATAAAATAAATAGTTCAAAAATATACCCTGAATGAAATTTTGAATAAATACTCTGCAATATTGAGAAAGAGAAAACGGTAAAATGCTGAAACAAGTTTTAATTGAAGCCAGAACGCCCGCTAATCCCGTTTGTTGCCCTTTCAAAATAGGCTAGATTTGGCCAAAAATAAGTTGAGTTGGCAACACTGTCGTGCTTGTACACTCACCTGTGGCATTCTTTGCGTGCTGCTGCTGTAGGTGTTGCCCGGCACCAGCTGATGGCTTTGACAGCTACTAAATTCAGCTTTAAGCGCGCGAGACGCACGTTCCTTGTCCAATTTTGGGCAGCGGCCAAATGGTTTGGTCGGCCGGCGCTTATCGCTTGCCCATAAATTTATGTACGTCGTTGTTGTTTGCCAAATATTGCCAACTCGGAGGTCCTAGGCCAATAACTTGCCAAGACGACACGCAATGAAGTTGTTTGCCTTTGCCTGTTGCTACGCGCGGAATTTTGCTTGACGTAAAAATGCAATTAACGGCACTTGTTCGCCATCGCTTGAAATTGTTGTTCTCCTGTTCTGTTGCATTTTCGCTGTGACACAGCGCACACGACACGACCGAACACGTAACAACATACACAAATTACACAAAATCATTATAATATGCACTGATTGATTTTAATTACATTCCATATTTCACCACACTCCTATTTTACACTTGCACTCATTTTTTGTCATTTTTCCATTTGTAAAAAAAAAATAATAGTGTTGTCAAGTGAATGCGGGTTTGGGTATTGGCTAACAACTATATTTGCCAACCACCCAAATACAGCGTTGCCAATCATATGGAAAGTACGTTAACATTAAACTGCATGTCATGATGAAAAATATGCTAAACTTTTTCAATAAAAATGTCGTTAGTAAAATGAATGCTTAAAATTAATAGTATAGTGTTTAGCATCAAAATAAGTAAGATTTTCAATATAAGCAGCACCAAACTCACAATAGGTAAACACAGCAGTGTTGCCGTATCACCAAAAAAGTTTTCGCTCTTCCGCGTGCGCTCTCACTCGCTCTCTCTCATATTGTGTCTTCCTGATAGTATCTCAAGTAATTTTTAGCGTATTTCTCAACAAATACAAGGCATTTTTTAGCGCATTTTGCATGTGTATTACAGTGAAAGTGAAACCTGCGCCACAGACGAATAAAACACTAGCTACATTTTTCAAATTTAAGAATTAAACAAAATTAGGAAATTATAAAAAAGCACAACAAAACAAAAGTTCAAACAAATAGCAAAATGTGTGGTGGTTTTACCTGCTCCAAGAACGCGCTAATTGCGCTTAACATTTTGTATGTGGTAAGCAGAAACAAAAAACCAACAACAAGAACAACATGAAAATTGCGTTGTATACACAGGAAAAAAAATTTGAAAATTTTCATTTCCTCAATGCTGGAACCGTAAATTTGTGATTATTTATGATGCCTTTGTTTCTATTTTGAATGATATTTTTCAGTTGATTGGTTTCTTGCTGATTGGCGTCGGTGTCTATGCACGGGCGGCCTCCGTTGTCACGAATCTGCCAATTGTTGGAGGCATTCTCGCCTGCGGGGTGATACTCATCTGCATATCCATGCTGGGCCTTGCTGGCGCCGTCAAGCACCATCAAGTGATGCTCTTCTTTGTATCCTTTTTTCCAACGACAACAACAACAAAAATGCTTTAAGCACATACCCTACACATAGGCCTACATACCTGCATACCATACATACATATGTGCACGATATCTGCACGCACAAGTGAGCTTTGTCTATGCCATGTGCTCCTCCAGCCGCAAAGCTGAAGGTCAACGCATGTCGATGGGGCTGACATTTGCTCTAACTACACACATCCGCACATTTCAAAAACATGCTCATAATTATGAATGCACACATGTATGTGTGCAGGTCTGTATGTTTAGTTGGGCTTCAGCATGACGCAGCTGTTGGCATGAATCAAGTTACTTGGCTAATTGCTTTCCTCGGACTTCCGCACATTTAGCAATTGCGTCAGCTGCAGCTTATCAGAGTGTCTGTTTTTAATAATAATACAAACTGATAACCAAATAGGTTAACTAAAATAACGATAACATTATCATTCGTTGGTTGACCTTAACTCTGCTTAATGCAGTACATGATAATTTTGTTCATGCTCTTCCTCATCCAGTTCTCCATTGCCAGCTCCTGTTTGGCCGTTAACTCCGAGCAGCAGCAACAGTTCGCTGAGCAGGGCTGGAAGACGGTGCCACCCAAGCTGCGTAAACAGGTGCAGGACAGTTTCCTTTGCTGCGGCTTCAATGCCACCAGCAACAGCGTCACCAATGGCGAGGAGCCCAGCTGCGAGTTAATCAATAGAGAGTGCTGTGCCGACTCCAAGGATCCGTTGTGTCGTTGCGGACCCTGCGGCCCCTTGTTGGAGGATAAGATTAACTATGCTTTCAAGCTGTGCGGCGGTCTGGGCATCTTCTTCAGCTTCACTGAGGTGAGTGTGTTGCGTAGTTCGGTTTCTTTCATTCCAATCTGTAATCTCTTGCAATTGTATTTTCTCATGGCATGCATTCAGTTCGTTGGTGTCTGGCTAACAGTGCGCTATCGCAATCAAAAGGATCCGCGCGGCTTGCCCAGCGCCTTCCTCTAAATTGCATACTAAACAAAAAATATAAATAACAAATACTAATTGCAGACGCACAAGCGCTCAAAACGCATGTGTGTCTACTAAAGAAAAAGTTAATGTCAATGTGTAAATTTCATATTCATGCAACAATCGTGGGTCTATTAGATCAACTTTGTGGTTAGCTGCTATCATACGGCATACATAATATAGAAGCATATTTATATTTATACAAGCATCTCTTACACATGCATAACTGCATGCCCGCATACATACTAGCAAGTACTTTGTACTTACGGGATGTGGTAATATATAACTAAGTACGCATTATGCATTAGGCCATACATACACACATTTACAACTCTAGAAATACTACATATACATATATATATATATATATATATATATATATATATACAAGATATAGATGCGTGTTTAGTCCTTTATAACAAACACCAGCAATCAAGTGTTTTTCGAACTGAACATTAAACATATTTTACACCCACATACTTGCACACATCTGTATACTTCTTCCCCATATATTTCTTCATACACTAACAAACTCTTTGGCGACGTATCCTAACTAAACTAAAGTATCTAAAAAAATTTAAACTCGGCTAAGGCATCTGGTGAGACATATTCATATAATTATTACAATAATGTTTGGTTTTCTTAAGTTATTTCTATTCTTTTGTTTTAACTTTATATTTATGTTTATTTCGGGACATATTTTCTAACTCGTTTTCCACATTTTCAACAGGTTTTGGCCGTTTTTCTGGCGCGTCGCTATCGCAACCAGCACGATCCCTGCTATTTGCCCGCACGCGCTGTTTTTCCACACAACTATCAGTACTAAGTGGGCCACATAGGAGCTGCATGAGATCAAAGAGCCAAGGCGCTGGCAATTTTTAGTCAAAGGGACGAAGGCTGATTTATAATTTTGTACACAAATTTCCTAGCATGAGCTGAGTCAAAGCAAATTTCAGAGACCTCGTCTAAAAGTCCTTTGAATATGTGCATTAAGCGCTTGATCAGTTTCTAGTTTTAATTGTTATAAAGTGTTTAAGTTACCCAATTGAGATTACAATATGTTTGGTGTTCACTATGTAATATTTGTATATTTTATTTTAATTGTACAATTTTTTCTTTATTTCTTAAGTTAGCTTACTAAGAGTATTTTATTTTTGTTTGCAACTGGCAACAATCAGAAAACACAACTGCTGTACCACAAAAGAACAAGAAATAATAATGAAAAATAACTTTATAACCATTTCGAACCTGATATAAGCGTAGAACCAAGTCAAATGAAACTAGCAACTGTAACTGTGTTTTAACAAAGCGTAACATATACATAAAGCAACTTATATACATCTACATACTATATATATACATATACATAAATATATACATAAATAATTCAAGATATAGATGTTAGATGTGTGTTAAAACTTTGAGATTAGTACTTATATTGCATAAAAAAAAAACCAACAATACATGTCAAGAAATATTTCTAAAGTCTTAAAATATCAAATACCCTTTCAAAGATAAAACACCTTGAGCTATGTTTTGCCCTCTTTGCTTTTTCTTCTCGTTTTCTTTTCATCCTCTGCATATATCTATATATTTTCCAATTACTCTGCGGCGCCTACTGCTGCCTTCGCTGCTTGCACCCACGCAGGCAAACACACAAAGCTAGCTTTAGCTATTCTCTTTTTCTTGCCGCACAACTACAAACACCTAAACGAACACAGGCACACACACAAATACACACACACCCCCACATAATACAACCAACAAGTTGAGATAGTTTTTCTCATGTGTTTCGTTTCGTATTTCCTTTCGAGCGACAAAGAAATCATTAAATAAAAATTCTCTGTATTCTGTGCTGTGATTGAAGTAAACATGATCTTTAAAAACCAAATAAATGCTCGAGTTTCATTTCACAATTTATCTTTACGCTTAATTAAGCCAGCAACTGTCTGTTGTCTGCGTCCTTCGCATAAGGTTTCAGCTTTCTAAATGGACGTTGTATCCTTTTATTATTTGTGGTCGACAACAAGCACTGTGGATGCAAGTGATTGCATGAAACAGAGTGTGAAAGCTTAATTAAGTGAACACCATTATGGGGAAAACTAAATTGAATTGTTGCATACTCAAAGGTAGAATTTTCCAAAAATGTATCTTTTCACTGCAAAGCTGGGCAAGGATTTAAATGGTAAAACCTTGATATAAGCCATCACTGAAGAAACTCTTATATATAAAGCTATTTGTCTTGACTGACTGACTGAGTGACTAAATGACTGACTTAAGGCGAATTTTTAAGTTTTGTCCGAGTTGCTTCACACTTAATTTCATAAGATCTTATTAAATACAAGTTTTAGTTATTTTTAAAATCCCACCCGCAACTGTGGTAAATGGGCGGAAGTTTGTATGAATGTTTTTTGATTACCATCCGATCGGCTTCAAACTCATTTACAAATATCTTTGCTAAAAATGATTCAATTCGCTTTTCGTGATATCCACTGCTCTCGGGTGGAAAAGGCGAACCAAAGGTTTTATGAACAAAAGTTTTTTTTTATAAGTCGGCTTCGAGTTTTTATACCAAGACTAACATGAGCGTAAGCCGTTGATTCCAACATATGGTTCTTTATTCAATGAACTTTAAACATATTTTCAGACCGAAGTGAAGTTCAAGAATTACGGGCAGAATCAAATTTCCAATGGGGAAAACTGGCTGAAAAAGTATTATCTAAAGTCTCAAGCACAAAACTTACTACGGGCAAGGCCGGGTAATACCCGCTAGCCGTAAATAAATGAAAACAGGATCTAAGGGGTACAACAAGAGTAATACAAATTAAAAAAATCTTTTTATATATTGTCTCCGACAGTAATATAAAAGCTTCCTTCTGAAACATCATAAGTAGTTCGCTTTTGTACATGCTAAAGCTGCGCCAACTCAGTTACCCGATTAATTTGCCATTATTTGGGATTATCTATAAGCACATCCATCATACTGAATTCCTGAAACATTAACGGCTTATACAGCTTCAATTAAACACGGTGAAAATGTTTTAAGTGACCAGCTCTCGGCGTTTACCTGCTGGCACCTATACTTGAATCCATTATGCAAATGAGGACCACGGTGCGCATAGCCGCATGCCACAAGCCTGCCGCGGAAGATTAACGCACGCAGTTTGTTTGACACCTCCCCGGGGAGCTGGACTGGGAGTTGCTCTGGTTCGGCGTGTGGATAACATTTTGGGCAGACTTGACTGGGATGACGCAGCGTGGCCTAAACACATACCTAACTAATTTTCAGTGGGCACATTCCCCTGCGCTGTCACGAAGAAGCTGCCAAAAGTGTTTCACTCAAACTTTTGGCCAACTGCGCTCAAACGAGGCCAAGTTCAACGCACTCGCGTCCGATTGAAATGGTGGAGCGCGCATTTAAGAAATCCCAGCTAGAGAGAGAGAGAGAGAGAGAGAGAGAGAGCGGGCGAGCTGAGTGAGCGTAATTTTTGTGGGCCAAGCAGAAACTGTTTGGGTTATGTAACGAATGCGCAGTCAGGTGGTGCCCGCTGGGTGGTGGTGGTGGAGTTTCAGGCCACGAATGTGGGTGTGGTGCCGGCTGAGCAGCAGGCTGTGGCTTGTGGGTTCCCAGACGAATTTTGTTTGTTGTCCTCCGCAACGGAAACGGCTGTTTGCAACAACATTTGGCTTGAGCTGTGGCCACTTATTATTTATATGTCATGTTAAAAGAATGGACACGACATGCACTCTTGCAATCACAAATGGGATATACACAGAAATATATATATATATTCAGCTTGTATCTATCTAGACTCTAGCCTCTGTGTGCATGTGATTATCAGCCGTGCTTATTATTGATTTTAATTGAAGCAATATCCTTTGAATTTTCAAGAAATGCCCATAAAATATATATGCACAAAAATATTCAACATATGTATATGTATATGTGCATTCCAGCAGCATTCCATTTGTATGCCTACACGTATTCCACATACTGAATAATAAATTAAATACCATAAGCTGTCCAAATGCTCGAGATCCTTAAAGCCTGTTGTCTGCTTATTGCCGACTTATGCGTAAAATGGAGGCAACGTTGCGTATGAGCAATGCTTTACGCGTCACGCTTTTTTTGATGACATACTTGAGTAATGAGCGCACAGTGGGCTTGGCACTTGTCGGAGCTCATTGATGTCGCTGTAAACCGAAAACAATAACAAATTAACTGGGCTGAAGAAACGGCTTAAAGATAGCTTTAACAGAAAGTAGATTCTCTACTCTGTTATTGAAATAGAAGAGGGTATATGCAATGCAATGAATCGTAGTTTTGTTTCCAAATTAAAACACATGCGCGAAATGACATCAGTTTTGACAAAGTTATATAGCTTTAAAGCTATACAGAATCCTTACTATGAACTTGGGAACTATACAGACAATAATTTCGATTCTTCTTGGCGTGAATTGTGACAGAAAAGTAAACCAGCTAAGTATATGTTTAGGTTAGTTAAAAATGTTTCTAGACTCAAATTGCAAATTACAAAAATTCTTTTCAAAGTAACTAAAAATCAAAAAAAATGTTGAGAAAATGTCACCTTATAAAATAGGTTAAAATTGCAACTTAAGGTAGTTTTTCGTCGTCCCAAATATAAGTTTCCAAATTCAAATTGAAAAAAAAATCTGCCTATCCAAAAAAAGTAACTTAAAATGTAAGAAATGTTGACGAAATTTACATTAGTACCTAGTTTATTTTTAAGCCTAGGGTATTTTTTCGTCGTCCCAAATATAATGCATGAAATATCTTGGCTGGCTTTTACGCGTTTAGCGCGCTGTCACAAAATATATTCGTAGTTTCCGTCTTTCTGTTTTCTATATCGCACTTGCTGGCGGATCTTGATTTGTTTTATGTCTCTATTTAAATAGACGTATGCATACATTCGCCATGTACTAGATAAATGTACTTTGCCCCATCCCCTCGTTAATCGTGTGTACTGCTCCAGAACGATGTCGTTGCCCGCCTTTGAAGCGTGGCGAGGCGCGAGCTTTGTACAGGTGCTTGGGGAAGAGCAACAGAAAACTAGAAATAAAGCAATAAATAAAATTAAGTTGAGGAAAAATTTGAATGTCAATGTCAAATTAAAGTCACACAGTTAATTAACTAGGCTAAAGCCGTCATAAAGTAAATGCACGATAATTAAGGGAAGCGCCACGTGTTTTGTTCTAATGAGTATTAATGTAGAATTCAAATGGAACTGAAGCTCATATGAGAATTATCGAATATCGGAAACAATCTCGATCTGCGCGGGGACTAGGAGGACCTACAGCTTAAATTTCGAAGCTCTAACTTGCGTTCATACGCACGGACAAACGGACGGACGGACAGGGTAGATCGACTCGGCTGTTGATGCTGATCAAGAATTTATATACTTTATGGGGTCGGAGATGCTTCCTTCTGCCTGTTACATACTGTTGCACAAATACATAATACCCTTTTACCCATTTTCAATGGGTTCAGGGTATAAAAAACAAAAGTACTTCTGATAAACAATAGTTAACTAAGCGACTTATTTGGAATCAAATATGCCAAAACGAAATTTGTTGGCATTGAAATTGTTTTTTATTAGTTGGAAGTCTACTATAAATGGAGAAAACTAAAGATTCATTTTAAGCGACACCGATTGTTGAATTATTGATTTTTAAAATGAGTTTGAAACAATATCAGAAATAAGTTAATACAGGATATCAACTTGTCGACCGCGTTTCAGCATGAATACTGCCAATATGTATTGCTACCCAGGCAAATGTTTACAAATGCAAACACAAATCCATACATATACAAATATGCATATTAAATTCCCGTGAATGCTTTTTATGAGCGCTGCACATAAAAAAAATGAACCAATTTTCTGTTTTATGAGCTGCAAACGAAAGGATTTCCATTTCAAAGGCAGCTCAACTATGCTTAGTAATGCCTGCAATGAAGGTATTTTAAATTAAATCTTACGGCGTATGCGCAACGCATATTACGTATACGCCCATTGGGTCGCTGGCCAGGGCTCAGACTGGACGTTAAGGCTTCGGTAGCTCAATGCGTGATTTAATAAGCGCCACATTTGGCACTTAAATGAAACGCTTTAAGAATAAAACACCATTAATGTCTCGTCCTCTACACCACCCCACCCCACCACACACTTTGAGGCAAGGACGGCCTTTGAGGAGGAAACAGCCGAGTGGTAGCATCGCTGCGCAGCTGTTGCACGCAGCAGGCAGCGCAGCGTCTGGGCAACACGCCACACCCCCTTTTCATACCAACAGCCATGTGACCGAAAGTGAGCGAAATTTGAGCACAAATTAAAAACAGAGCAAAACATAAAAGTAATTTGTCTTTCTTTTCTTTGAACATGCTTTTTTTTGTGCGTGGTAATTGTCGGTACATGTTTGTAGAGTATAATTAAATTTTGCTCTAGCGTACGGCAAATTAAACAATTCGCTGAATCACACTACCAATTGTTAAATATTTGGCGTCGTTTGAGTGAGTTCCTGTGGAAAGTTGAGTCGAGTTCAGTTGGCAGCAGCGCAGCGACTACAGGCAGCAGACAGCAGGCAGCAGGCAGCGGCAGCATTTGAGTTTTTATTGGTCTCTTCTCTCGTTCAGTCGACGTTGAACTTCGCAACGCTGTGGACGTCAACGCCTCTGCGAATTGTAACAGTGTGCGTGTGCGTTTGCGCCAGAGTAAGAGAGCGAACGCGAGTAAGCAAGAGAAAGCTCCTGGTATTAACACGTAACGGTGTGGTTGTTGCACGTGAGCCGCAGCAGACAAGCAAATAAACAAAGCAGCAGCAAAAGCGCAAAGAGCTGAAGCAGGACGCAAAGACAAAAAGTCAAATTACGCGCGTTTTT